TTGCTCCCCCTGCAGGCTTTCCCTCACAGCCACCTTGATATTACTCACCCAGGCACACTCTCCTCTCTCCAGTCTATAATTGGCTTTGTAATTCCTACAGCACAAACTTTGTTCCAAGTCCATCTCTCAGGTCACATACCAGCAAAGCTGTACAGCTGTGGACACGGTCGAGCGTTTTCATCTGGGATGGTAAGAAATTGAGACGCTACTCCACATCTCTGGAAACACTCCTTGCTGTGATCTCCCAGCCCTGACTGTCTCCACCAGGAAAACAACAGTCCATCATGCACTGCCTCATGACAGTGCTCATACTGTTGCCAGGTACTGTTACTTAAATTTAAACCTGGGCGTGCGCTATCTTCCTACCTTACTTATCATCTCTTCCTTGGTAGAGGGTCTGGAGCTATTCCGCCAATTGGGCATGAGGCACATACTCACTTCCTAATTCTACTTTATTTAACTGTGATGTGAGCTGTGGCATACCTTCTGATGTGAAGGATGTAGCAATCAGGAAACCAGCAGATTGAGGGCCAGGACCTGCTCTCCAAGAATCCACGACCTTTGATAGTCATCTCTTCATCATACCCTGCCTACTCTAGTAATATTTGCATAAAACCAATGTTGTGCATTATACAGATGGCTTAACTTAGGCAGGAATATGAAGCTTAATAAGATGTCTGTAAATACTTTAGGAGTTCTCTGGAAGGACAGTGCCATGTCCACATATTTCACTATGAGAAATCTATATTTATAAACAGGCACTTATATCCTGAAAATACTGTGACAGAGTATTACACAGGAATCTTGAATGATGACTTGTTCTGTGCCAGTATTTTTCCTGATTCTGCATTTTTATTGGGACCAGTGGATGTCAAAGTTAGATGAGCTGTGTGGTTAATAAGTAACAAACATTAAAAAATAAGATATAAAGATATTTACTGTCTAGACTGTAATGACTGAGCTAACTTCTGATCATGGTCATAGGGTTGCAGAGTGTATGTGTGCATGTGTGTGTGTGCGTGCATCATGCACACTTGTACAACTCTGAACAAATGAAATAAAGATTCAAAGCTCTTTTTAAATGTGACAAGATTTAATTTCTCCAGCAGGAAGGCATGAGGAGGGTGATTTAGAGTAGGTGTGCTTACATACCATAGAAAGTGCTGGGCAAAGCAGGGAAAGTGCCCTTGGAAGCCCAGCTCTAAGCTGCTGATGTGCTCAGCTCCACTGTCACCAGGAGCACATGGTGCCACAAGCAAACATTTCCAGATCTTTCCAGTGCTCATCTCCTCTTATCAGCTGTCAACTCTGCCTCCTCAGGGGCCTTGGTCTGAGCCCAGGCTTTCTCTGATGCCCAAGAAAATGGATCCATTATAGGGTGGGAAGGTTTCTGATGAATTTTAAATGATTAAACAAATAAGCCATGAAATTCCTGGTGGCTCAGATTCTCTTACTTGTTTGTCTCCTACACAGTCTTGCAGAGATGCCCAATAAATTAATTGATGAGTTGAATGAAAATTACAAGTTACCAAATAAACGAAAGGAAATGTGTTTCTCTGGTTAGTGAGTAGAGAAGATTGCTTATGTGAACCCCAGGTGTGGATGAATTCTGTCCTTTGAGTAATGTGGACAGGCTGCCAAGGGAGTTGAAGATGGAAAGATTAGTTTGGGTCTTATTCTGAGCTTTGTTGGCAACTATGAATATAAAAGGCAGCTAAAAAAAACCCAAGGCAGTGGAGGTAAACAGCCTAAACACCAACTAAATATTTTCTTTCACATTTTTACCTTGGGGTAATCTGCTACCAGTACATTGGGAACATCTAACTAGATCCAGCTAAACAGCTGAAACAAGGAAAAAAGTGTAAATCCCAGTAGCAAGCAGAAAGTGTTGAAATACTGGCTAAAATAGCAGTTACTTTTCTTGTGACAAGTTGTGTAATTAGATCTGAAAAAGCTCTGTTTTCTCAATTCTAACCTTATGGAAAAAATAGTGGAAAATCCTGCCATGCTAAAGTTCTAGAGAGCAATAGAATTGCGTGAGAAAAATCTTCTTCCTGGTTTTGGGTCTCATTGTGACCATCCATAGCATCTCTGCCTTGGGAAGATTTCCTGACGTGCTTATGATTTTTGTCTTGGGCAATGCACATCATTAGCATACTATGCAGGTAGTGTGGAAGGATGAAAAGACTTGGGTTTGAGAAGTACTTTAGCTCAAAGTTCCATTTTGATGCTTACTGTATTATGTGACTAAAACTTAATAGGTAATTAGAGCCTAATTGTTCACAAATTTATAAAATGGATCTAATAAAAGTGCCCCCACATGGCTGTCCCAAGGAGTGTAAAGCCCAGCCCATCACCCAACCTGTAGAACATGTTCCATAAATGTAGGTCTCTTCTCCCAAACCAGCGTAATGGATTCATTCATTGGAACCTATGTCTTCCCAGGCAGCACATGCACAAGAAAGAGCTGAAGAGCCTAGAAGTCAGAGGCACCCATGAGTCACATGGGCTCAAATCCCAGCGCTGTCACCTGTGAGCAGCAGGACTACAGACAGATAACATAATGCTGGGATTCTTCATTAGTGGGCTAAGCGCAGTCAACGCCTAACACACGTTACCTGTCATCTCTGTGCATCTTCTAGGCAGCAGAATAACCATGGATAGGAGCTGGAAAACAAGAGCACAACTCCCAGGGCGAAAAAGATCTAGAAATAAGAACCTCCAGGTGGCAGGAAACGCGTGGCTGAGAGAGTCCTAAGTAAAATTCCCAGTACAATATACATATATATAGTACCCCCAACCCAAAACTTTACACAAAGGAGATGTGTCATACCATAAGCAATGAAGAGAAAAATATCAAGAGCAGCACAGAGACACAGGAACCCGTCTACCCATCTTAGCCATGGACTTATCCTATAGCTGCAGACTTCTCATCTCCTTCTATTCTCCCAGGAGAGAGGCCACAGGAGCCAAGAAGGACACAGGGAGGAAAGCTGGGAGGCAAGAACGAAGAAGCACCGCAGATGCAGACTAAACCACACACCTCCACACACGCGTATTCAGCAGCAAAGGCCACGCACGGTCTCAAGGATTTCACAAGAAATACCTCACTGGACATTCCCAGTGGAAAGAGGAGGAGATGCTTGCTGATAGGTGCTTAAGTAGGTGATTTCATCATTGTGTGTCCTCACACAAACTAAGGAGACTGCAGTGTCACCAGGCGACATACCTCATAGGATCGGTGTCTAAGCTGCCTGTTGTTGGCTACACTGTAATTAAGTTGTGAATAATTAGTATTGCAATTCTACATTAATATTTGTATTCCTGTTTTACAAATGAAGAAGCTGAGAGGCAAGGAACTTAACCTGCCTAAATTTATACAGCTAACAAATGTCTGAGGATGGCAGGAGAAAACATTTCACAGGAACCCTCAGAGAACATGCAAGGGCAGGGAACTCGGGGTTCACAGAGGCAGAACCGGTTTCCTCTTTCTTTCTCTTCCCCAAAGAGAATGATGTCAAGAAACATTAAACTTTGGGAGCAAGAAGAAAAAAGCGCATTACAAGAAAAAATAGCCACCCGGACTTTACAGTTGAGAATTTCTCAACTCAAGGGTCTAAGCCCACTTTGCGGCAAGCAGTGCCCTTCCTCTAGACAGCCTGGGCATGGGAGGCCCTGGGGGAAACAGTGCTACCTTGCAGACTCCGTTAATTCTAGAAAACCAAATCTGCCAGTGAGCTCAGGAAGGACAGCCTGTGTACTGGCTGTACACAGGCTGCGTAGACCAGACCTTCAGGGAGAAAGGAGCCAGAGTTGCTTTGGAAACTGTTTGGGCACACATATTATACCTAGTTGAATCTAGATGGACTCAGAAGTTCAGAAAGCTTCTTAAATAACCACATCAAAATGGAGTGAGACTCACTTCAATATTCCAGCACTTCCTTTGAACCTGACACTAGTTTCCTGCCCTTCTAGGTCTTGTAAAAGAGACCGCAGAACTAGCATGACAAGCACATTTGAGAATCTCAGCACAAGGCGCAGTGTATCATTGACTGATCTTGAACTATCCCTCTTCCGAATGGGTCTGGAAGGGACACTGTCCCCAACCTCCCATGCTGCTTCCTGGGATCATGAGTGAGCCTTGTGCTTGAACAGTTATTTTTAACCTTGAAGGCATCATTACCCAGAACTAATAACGCATGGGCACTTCCTGGGATGCAAAAAATGAAAATAAAAGCATTCTCCATAATTGGACTTGGGTCACTATCCAGAAGGATTACAGGAGGTTCTGAGGAGATTGACACATTTCCCCTGACCACCATTACACAGCTGTCCAACCACAAATGACCCAATGAAGACCAATGGTCTTTCCCCTCTTCAGCTGTCAGTGCCAAATGTGGAACAACACCGCGCTTCACCACAACACACAGCCCCTGGAGGAAACCTCAGGCCTCACACATCACAGTGCCACTCTCTAACGAGCTAGAAGGGTTATTCCTCTGCAGGGAGTGGAAGACATTCAATTTCAAAAAAGCCCAAGGACAGCCTCTTTCAGAGTCTCCATTTGGAAAAGACATTTAAGCAAAGTTGTACTTGATGAAGTAAAATAGAATTAGCTGCTTCAGTAGCACTGGAGAATGGCTTATTCCCTCCCAAGTGGAACGAACTCAACAACAATATATCACAGTTAACTGTAGCCACAGCTCCACGGAATTTCAGCTGGGGCCTAGCACACACTGAGGTGCACTTAATACTCCCCAGTCTGCAATCAGCTTTCTGTGCGTTTGCTCCTCATGGCAGGGTACAGTTGCATCTTAATTAGCTGTTTTCTTATTGTATTATGGTTGGTCATTTCAGCACGCCTAACGGACCATTCGATAGGTTAAATGACAATTAAGGTCCCGTGGGTTTGTTTCCAGGCAAGTCGTGGAGGGGTCTGATTTATTTCCCACTGCCTGATTTCAAGGCAGAATGACTCAAGACCAAAGACAAAGGCTTACCGACTGCAGTCAACGTGTAGCAGCAGGTGCGAGGTGCTAACTGACAGAGCCACCTTGTGCCACTGCCCATCTGCCATCCGGTAGGGAAGTGCCTCTGTCCTGGGCCTCCCCTTGTGCATGTAGTGATAGCGAATCGCATCCCGCAGGCCACTGCTCTCCAGCTCAAAATAGCTGCATGCAAAGAAACAAAGTTTGTTTTATTTCCATTCTGGGTAGCGTGGCTCTCATCAGTCCCCACCTCCTTACTGCAGGTCTCCCAGAATCTAAAATCAGTGAAGGACCACAAAAAAGCCATGAGCTGAAATCAACTGTACACGTGCAACCCAGCTCACCCACTGTCGGGGAGTCCTTGTGGCAGCACCTTGCACATCTGAATCGGAGACCAGTGGATCCACCTTGAGTAAGGAGTCACAGCTAAACAAAAAGCCTGGTGCAGGGCTCTGACACACTGAGGAGCACAGCTCAGAGCTCTGCTCCTGCTGTCTGAGAAAGGCCATTCATGTTAAAGGATGCATTAATGTTTATTTTTAGAACTGCCATTTGAACTTTTTCAAGAGTTAATAAAAAATAAAGTCGTATTAGACAGAGTTTGAAACACATTGCAGGAGCAAAGGAGTTAGTTAAGTTTCCTTTCTTCATCCTCCTCCTCTTCTTCTTCCCCTCCTCCTCCTCCTCTTCCTCTCTTGCACAAAAAGTTTTAACTGAACAAATCCTAAATGAGGACCAGGGGAAAGAGGTTAAAGCTACTCACTTATGATCAGTACTTCAAATTATCACACAATGCAATGTGCAGTTGGCATCTCTTTCCTGAGATTTTTGTGTTTTCCAGGCCCATGAGAAATTCTTAGTGACACTACTATGATCAGAACTGTAGCCCAAAAGTATAGCAAGTGTGTTTGGAACACGCTTCCGAAACCCGGCAGACCTGGCACCTTCGTGGGTGACAGCAGCATTTCATCTTTGACACCTCTTTCAAGAGGTGTCACTGTCACTGAGACATCAACACCAGGCATTACCCAGCTGCCAGGCATCACACTAGCAGGTCACTTGCACAATCTAATTTATTGCCCACAAAAACTACATGACCAATATCATTATCCCTTTTCAAAGATTAAAAACAATTGAGATTCAAGGATTAAACAACACATCCAAGACAAAATTTAAACCCAGATTTCAGATTGAGTTGGTGTACTTTTCAGCAGTTTACGGCCAACCTGAAGGGCACCTTCAGTCACAGCAAGGGTGACCTCCATGCCAACCTCCTGCAAGGTGTCCACAGGACACACAAGAGCTACTTGGACAGGGGACCCCACTGTGACTAGATCTGGAAGGACCTGTTGCTTCTCTCCTAGTCCCCAGGGTGGGCCTGATCTTACCAGCCAGACTGTATTTAGTCTAAAATGTAAAGCACATCTTCTATGAGGATGAAATGAATACATCCTGAAACTCAGCCCATATTATACGAATCCTAAATCTTATATCGGAGAATAACTGCGTATTTCTTACTTATCTCTGACAAGGGATCTTCCCAAGAAAGAATTTCATGGGAAGAGAATCAGGACCAGCCTCTGCCTCACCTCTCTTACACCAAGACAAAGAGCCAAGCATAAACTGAAGAGGTTATTTATACAATAGCAGCCAGGTCTTGGTCCCAGGTACATATTAGCAATAATTAATAAAGCATAATTTAATAAGTTCAGAAAGGGAGACTTTCCTTAAAATGTCTCTTAAGAAATTATCCTACTTGTTCTAAGGAATTGAAACAGTAGAAGAATTGATCAGTTGATTTAAAAGTGAAGATCTTAGAAATTATCTGATCATTCATTAATTCACTATGTCTTTACCAAACAAACAATGAAAGGCTTAAAATATAGTAAAATATGGGGCCCTCTCTTAGGTGTATTGAAATTAACAAAACAGATAGTAAAATATATCCTTCTCAACAAACCCTTAGAAAGTGGCCAAAGAGACCCCCAAAGAGAAGGCAAGGGAAGGAATGGGTGTCATGTGCCAGGAACACAACAAGTACTTCCACAGCATCGTCCTATTTCATTTTTAAATACATATTATTATTCCCTATTTTGCTGATGGGTTCGCACATGATCACAGACATTGAGTGCTTCGCCACAAAGCCCCCAGGGCCCCCAGTACAGAAAAGCACCATGATCTTACAGTGGGGACTTTCCCAAGCTTCAAATGTCCCAAGAAATCTCCTAATTACTTTATTCTGACCAATAAGTGACTCCCGGAGGAAAGGATATGACCTTAAAATAACTCCAATCGATGACAATTAGATACGTTCACAGGGATCAGCGGACACAATCATTAAAGAGGGAAGTAAACATATTTAATGGGATTTAATCAGTATTCCCGGGGCTATGGCCTCATTAAGCAAGTGCTTAATGTATTATAAATACATCATTTAAAGATCACTTTACAAAGCATTGGAGTAAACTGTGTAAGTAAATAATAAAATGTATAGCTATGAGAAAAGAAATCCAACCTGACATGACACGAGTGAACCCCTGTATCTTATCTTCAGATAGCATCAAAAAGTGCTGTGCTTCAAACAACCGGGACAAATTCATGCCGTCCAACACCATGTGCTTTTGGAAAAAGTACTTTAGCTAACTGCAAAAGTGACACTAGGGAGAGAGAAACCATGAATGGCTAAGTGACATCAGGATAAAACTGTGTCATGAAGGCTGAGAGGGGAATAAGGCGAGTACTTTCAGCAGTAACTCAAGCAGAGATGGGAGACTTGACCCTGACAGCACCTTGGAGGGGCAGTCACTGGTGTGATGGGACTCCACTACCATGAGGGAAGGGGGAAGAGCCTTGATTTGGAGTAAACTTTGTCCCCCTGTGTTATTTGCAAACGGACATCACCAGGTCCAGCTCAGAGCCCCAGGCCCCACCCAAGCTTCCTGAATCAGAACCTGCACATCAGCAGGACCCCAGATGACTCATGTACACATTAATGCTGCAGAATCATGGCAGCGGAGTGTACCAGGTGTTGCTTTACCTCCTGGCCAGCTGGCTGTAAGGAAGGAGCAGAAGTCTGAGGCTACAGGCTGGTGACTCAGGGACTCGTGGGCTCGCAGGGAGAGGGAGACAGGAAGTGACCAGTCCAGCCCTGAGGGCCCTCACTCTTCAGGCTTCAAGGGTTCTGGGGTCTTTCTGGAGCCTTGAGAGGGTGGGGAGTGCAGGTCTGAGTGATAAACCACAGGAGGATTTGTGAGCAGCCTTTCACCCCTTAACCTGGGATCTCAGCCAAGTCTGCGGTTCCAAAGAACTGCTCTGGCTCCCCGAAAAGCTGCTCACTCGTGGTGTGATATCTAAGATCAGCAATGATATTCCGTCCTGTTTTTCTTTTCCAGGCCAAACATTTTTCCCTTGTACTCCTGTTCCCACCTATGCTGTGAACCCTCCTGGATAAGGATTCTGGCTTATCCCTTTTTCTAGATACTTCCCCATGTGGGTCCCCATGCGCCTACCATGGTCACCTGTGCAGAGGTGGACTAATGCTGAGTACAGTGACATGATGTCCTGCTGTGCTCTGGGCTGCACACAGGCAGAGGCACCTCTCGCCACCCACACAGAGTTCTCCATCCGCTGAAACCCAGTACCCTCACACAAAGTGCTGTGAGGACAGATGTTTCCAGATGTCTCCAGAGCTGAATTTCTAAGGCTCAGGCCTTTGCCCAAGCACTGGGCAGGCCCTATGCTAGAAGCTCAGCAACTCCCGCAAAGCTCACCCACGGGTGCTGGGGTCCATCAGTATTACCATGACCTGAAGGTAAATGTCATGGGGTTGTGTTCACTTCAGCAGCACATGCACTAAAACACTTCACAGGACTATCTGGATTCCTCGTATACTTGGAAATAAAACTCAGGAAGACAATTTCTACATAATATACATAGGTATTAAAATGTTTGTCACGTCCCCCAAATTGAAAAAATACAACCCATTGTGAGATTATACATGCATGTGTAGAGAGAGATTGTGAACTACATATATTTCATGTTAAGACTGTAAGGAGTATGAATGAAAAATATGGTATTTAAATTTTTAAAAATTTATTCATCGAAACACACACTGCCATTAATCTCTGTCAGAATACCCTTCTCAATTTCAACACATCTGTCCCACCATGCTTGCCACTTTCTGAAGCAGTTCTTGATGTCCTCTTTCATGTGTGTCTTTAGTGGCACTGTCCTGCCCACTCTGATGCCCTGAATTGATGCGGAACATTTGCCCTGCATGGTCATTTCCACTCTGGGGAAGAGTCAGGAGTCCCATGGTGCCTGATCTGGTGCTGTGGTGGATGAGGACACTGTGTCGTGTTTTTAGGAGCCGCCTTTCTGTTGATGGCACCAGAGAGCAGCAATCAAAGCATTTTTATCACATTTCAAAAGGACTCATGAGAGAGGACTTCCAGATCCACTTCCAATGTGGCAAGAACAATGAGTGTGCTCAACGCAGGGGGAAGTGTTTGAGGGGGCTGACGGCGATGTGTCTTTTGCTTTGCTAACTTTTTAAAAACTATAACATTCACTGTAGTTTTGATCACAGGATTAATAGTAGATACACAACCCAAAGTGTGAGTGGTTATTCCTGGATGAATGTGTAGTTTCTGTATATAAACAGTATACATTAATTTTAAATATTAACTAGTGCTTGTCCATGAAAGAAGTCTCCTTATAAAGATCTCTTTTCCAGCTACTCTGTGAGGGTGCCTACAGACTACAGAAATGCATCACACCTTAAAGACCTCACAGTTACTGCTGCACCTACTCACATTCCAGCAGAGGCCGGTGCACCCTCTGGGGCCCTGAACAAACAATCTCTGTGAAAGCCTTGATGGGAAATCAAGGCAGGGTAGACTTAGCAAACAAGGCCACGCTTCTACTCAGTGTTTACCTTTGGCCATAATTCTTATCTCAGGGAGAAAAATCCCAAATCTGATGAAAAATTAGTGTCCAGGCATTGAATATGACCTCCACAAGAGGTAATTCTTTGTGAATCGTAATATCAGTGATAACAAAGACAATGTAGCTAACATTTATATGTACTAATTATTAACATTTACTGAGTACTAAATCATTGACAGAAGTGCCTTTAGAATTTTGTATTTCATAGCAAAAGAACCAAATCACAAACTAGTGAT